GCTGCACCGAGTTATACAGCCACACATGAGAATGGTGTTATATTGATAACTTCACTCCTCTTATACCACGTTCACCCTATTGACCACTGGTTTACCTCAGCTGCACCGAGTTATACAGCCACACATGAGAATGGTGTTATATTGATAACTTCACTCCTCTTATACCACGTTCACCCTATTGACCACTGGTTTACCTCAGCTGCACCGAGTTATACACACACATGACAATGGTGTTATATTGATAACTTCACTCCTCTTATACCACGTTCACCCTATTGACCACTGGTTTACCTCAGCTGCACCGAGTTATACAGCCACACATGAGAATGGTGTTATATTGATAACTTCACTCCTCTTATACCATGTGTAACCATGGTGTATTGACTACATGCCTACCTCCCTGTTAGATCACGCACAGATTCTGATGTAGGGATCCTCCACCCATGCCGTGTAGACTGGTCATTCTAGTAGACCCACTCCATCCATTTAGGAATAACTTAATATAAGAATATGTTTTATGCATAGGTTCATTTTGTCTTGTCTAGCCATGATTTTAACCTCCACTATTTTCAGCCCTCACAGTCACGGATATGGATGGCAATTTCATCGGTATATATTTACACTGACTGAGAAAGGTCACATATTGCTACTTAATGCTCTTGACTTAATAATTATACACATCGATTTAAACACATTTTCTAGTTTTTTTTAGCATTTCATTATCTAAATAATGCCACACAAAGTGCCTAGCAACTTTATGCGCGACCACTTTTTTCAACAAGAAGCAATATCCTTGTGAAAAAAATATTTCTGTTTTATGGTTTTATTTTTATTCTGGTGTTTGATTTTTGTAGGGAAATAAATAACAGAGGTGTTAACATATAGATTCTCAATATGTCAGCTGGATTTGAACTGAAGCCAGGGGGCAACGATGCAAGAATTGTGAGTGTGCGGAATTGGTTAACCTTTTCATCATGCTGGTCACAGAATGGTCCCCTCACGAAATAAATCTCTAGACTTATTCTAAGGTTTCTTTTTGTTTGAATTGGCTGCGGACACCAATACTATGTTTATTGATGTAGATGCTTGTATAAGTTTGGTGTGGGTCTCATGCTTGATCATTTGCCCCTTACGCGCAATGATGTGTGTGTTTTAGTTTTGGCAGATTAATTAAAGCTTTGACTAGAGCTAGTGTCTGAGTGCTTTGATTTATTAGTAGTGAGTCGGGACACAGACAGACAACATTCAATTGATTCACGCAACGCCTGTGCTAGATAATCATTGCTCTCTTCAATGCCAAATTTTTCCGATCAGCCCTGCCCTGTATCCGATCAGGTTGTGGACACACATACCAATATCCTGCCAGCTTTTCTTACACACAAGGGAAAAACACATACGAGACTTACACGAAAACACCGACACCAATATCCTCCTTTTCACATGCTGGCCTTGACGGCAGCCGCAGAAATGGTCCGACACAAGAGTTTGGATCAAAGATTGGATTTGGAGCTTGTTAGGGCTGCCATTACTCGTCTCAACATTGTGGCGATTTGCACTTTAAGTCTGTGAGAGTATTCCCAATCTGCTGGTGCAATATGTAGATGGTCTTTTATTGACTTTAGAATAGCTTGACTGTGGAAAGTGTTCTTGTGCTTGTATTGGGTTATTCACCACACTGTTGTAAATCCCTTGATGGAGGAGTGATGATGTTCCGAATGACATAGACATGACATAGAAAAGAAAAACCGAGAATAAGAATGCAAAATATGTTTATTGTGTTGTATTACAGATAAGCCATCAGTTGTTGTCATTCCGTATTCAGCAATTAAATGACTGATTTTTAACTGTGGTTGCTTTAGAAGAAATCACGTACCACTGGCAGTTTTTTGCAGTATTTGGATAATGGCAAAGTTTTATTTTTGTTTCACAACTCTCATTCATGTTTTGTTTTGCTTGTTTCAACAGACATGTTTTTTGGAGTATTTTGTGGGGGGAAAGATTTATTTTATTGTATCCTTTTGTTTCTGTGTTTTACAACCCTCAACCTGTCAAATCTGTTTTTTTCTATGTTTCTTAACCCTCAACTCTGTTCCATTTATGTGTTTCACAACTCTGAGAGAGCAGAAACCTTGATAGGATAAGTGCCTCTTTAATTTATTGAACATGAAAATTTTGAAAACAAAATCAGTAAGCAGAAAATGGTTCAGTGTCAGAAGTCACAGTGAACTATGTGATGTTGATGAGGAGGAGGAGGATGACGAGGAGAAGTTTCAAGTGTTTTGCTTTGACTCAAGCTGTACCAAACATGCGGATACTATACATGGTTCCTTCTTATCAAACTATTATTTTTTTACATTTAGAGAAAACTACAAGTATGCTACATACTGCCCTCACATTTCCCACAGACAATATGATGCAGCAATTAATTTGGGAAACTCATTTTAAAGGTTTTTATGGGATATTTTTAGTTTGATGTATGATCAGTTTACGAAACACTAAGAGTTATCTCAAATATATAATTGAAAGGATTGGCTATTTTTTTCTGAGTGTGTATGTGTTATTTGTATGATCAGCCAATGTCTGGAGGCGGAGAAGGAAGGCGATGGAGATAACTGTCACAATAAAGGATCCAGTTGCTTGTCTTTACGAGCAGATATTCACATTATTGTCTATTTTTCACTTTTTTCAACTCTTAGTTGTGCGAAAACCTTCTGTCAGTACAATCAGTGTATAGATCAGTTGTCAAGTCTCCGCCATCATCTTCATCATCATCATCATTATCATTATCAGATAGTTCACTGTGACTTAAGACTTCTGATACTGAACCATTTTCTTTTATTGATTTTGTTTTTCATAGCCTTCCAAAGTTTCTTCTCTCGCTGAGTTGTGAAACACATAAATAAGAATAGAGTGGAAGGTCAAGATACAGATTTGATGGTTGCAAGTTGTAGGTTGCGAAATACAGAAACAAAAGTTGAGGGTTGTAGACATTGACATAAATCATACCTGTTATCATTGTCATCATTATATTTATTGTCGAACATCGGTGATATCCGTATACGAACAGACAGGTGTATTACACATTGTGTAATAACATCTAATTACCCACATGGTGAAGATACAGGTAGTAAGGTACTAAATCTGTACGTCACAGGTGTGTCGTACACGGTTGACCTCGTTTTATTCATTTTGTTTGGATAACCGTGACCTCTGTCACACCGGAACTACTTTTTTCATACATTAAAAAATTACGAGCATGATGCCCCAGACAACTTCCGCAACATTCAATTTGATTTAACGTAAAAGGTTAAACGGGTGAAATGAAGTCAGTTTAAGCTATCAGGACAGATATCAGGACTTATGTTTAATGCTCCGGTTGTGCCATCAGTGTCCCCATTGGAAGCGTATTGCTTCCGAAGGTGTTTGTTCATATATGAACACACGACTGCACGACCAGATCACTCAAAGTGAACAGTTCCGATCATTTCAAAACTCAATGGAAGTGTGCCTGCCTGATCTCTAGCGTAAAACACTGTAAGTAGATCACAGTTGTCTTTTCTTATTCTTATGGTGACCTTGGGGGGCACGGTTGGCCCAGTCCTCTAAGGCGCAGCGATTCGCTTAGCAGAGTTGCATCCCTTGGGCACAATAGAAACCTATGATTGTGGGTTCGAATCCCGGTTCGCCCCGATTGTTTCTAGGTTTGTCAGCACCATACCCGTGCTTGTGGGTTTCGCCGAAGTGGTAAACATCTGAGACCTGCATCACTTCGGGCTTTCCTCCCACATTAAACTGACACGCTGCGATATAACTGGAATACTGTTGCCCTTGCCCTTTGTTCGAAGCTGTCACTGACATGTAAGCAGACTTGGGTTTGTTGATTTTCACGTTTTCAGTATAGGGTCGTACAGTTACCGTAAACGTCTTTGGCAACCATTCTGATTTCCCTCTTCCCTTCCAAAATGGTAATGACATGTTATAAATTCAGCTGATAGATCAAGGAAACAGCCATTTTGATTGCACAGCCGGGCCCCCTCTGGTGCGAGTGACCGAGTGTTGGTCCGAGATTCAAAGTGTGACGCTCTATACTTGGACGGGACTAGTTTTGATCAGCAGCTGATCATTTGAATGGAGGTGTTGTTCGCACATTTAAACTGTACACTATAATTTGTCAACCAATGTCGAAGGGTTTGTGGTGTGATGTACCCTAAGCCACACAGAGTGCATCACACTATCACATAGCAGACAACGCAAATGAACCAAGTTATTTCCCTTTACTCAATGCATTTGGATAAACATCGGTTCATGTCAGAAACTCAGCGACACTCTTTTGAGATAAGCAAGTTACCTAAGACGCTTATTTCTGAGGCAAGGGAGTTAACTGACTATAAAAGTCCACCTACCGCCCTTGCCGAACTAGGCAGCAATTATGGAGTGATGTTTTGGCTGGACTTATGAGTCTATGCATCGTCACGAAATCCTGTTCGTAAACTGACGTGCAGATATCGGTTGATTGCAAGATTTGCAAAGTATGTATACCGCCAACTAGGCATAAACAGATATTTTCCAAATCTTTACATGTTTTTAATCAAGGTGCTTACGAGATTTGATGCACTTCGCAAAGTAAAACCCGTTTTATCACAATATAGGTTTTGATTACTGATCAGATCATCTTAACTGGGCGTCGCCATTTTGTTTGAAACAAATGCAAGTGATACGAGAGGTGGAATCTGATTGGTCCATAGGAGGGACATGGAAGGGACATAACCCATAATAGCCACTGATGGCGCTACAATCGAGCCCAGAAATTCCAGCCTCGTTCGGCAAGGGTGGAAACTGGAATTTTTACAGTCAGTTAACCCTCTTGCCTTGACGAGATGCCTAAGATGTGCTCTGATTGATTTCTCAGCGGGCTATATGGAAAATAATTACCTGCTCCTTAACCAATCAGAAGTTATTATTTTAATATAAAGTAAGAAAGGCATTCCCAGAAGGCTACTCTACTCCTGAAAGACACGACTAATTTTCATGAAATGCCAGAGATGCATAGCAACAATAAGCATGCATCTCAAGATTTTTAATTGTCCGTCACATTTTTCACTTGCCTTTGATCTGTTGCTGAACTAGCAAACAAATACCTTTGTAGACCAGAGTATACGGACTTGCACCTCTGTATCACAGTATTGCAAGCATCTTGACATCATAACGGCTCCGAGCATCGCCAATGTTCAAAATATCATGTCATGGCATCATCACAACCTCCACCTTCATTTTGTAAATGATAGAGCCTCCTTGGACCAAGTGGACATTTGTTATAAATGTCGTCTTCCTATTAGCTGATGCAATCCTGTGTCGTAAATCTGGTACATCATTATTGGTGTTGCTTAACAGCAATTACAATAAATCTTGTAACATGTACTACCTGATGACCTGTATGAAATCTCATACTTAACATGAGATGAGTGATTCGATGACACTACACTGAAAAAGGTTTGATGTTATAAAGCTAGATTTTGCCATTGAACGGAGATATTTCTTAACGGTACTTGGTAATGTTTGAGTATTTGCTGTTATTAACATGTTTTTTAGAATCTGCATCTTACTGTTTCTTGGTGACAATTGCGCATGTTATTGCCAGGCTGATATAGCAGTGAGAATGTTTTATTCACATGCCACCCTTATACCAGTGACGTCTTTTTAACGTAGCATTTCTATAATGTGCAAAGTTCAAGTGAGTTATAAATATGTTACAACGCTAGTCACTGTTAGATACTGTTTTTATTGCCGCTTGTGTATTTCAAAACATATCTTATGTATCCAACAGTATTTAATCATTGTATCCATTATCATTATCATATATATTATTATCATCAATATATTTAATATTATTTTTCATCATCAAACATCATACTAATCATCATACTAATCATCATCATCACCATCATCATTGTATCCATTATCATTATCATATATGTTATCATTATCATCACTATATTTAATATTACGAGCATTTCTGTCATCAAACATGCTCCTCTTCCTCCTCCTACTCTTCTCCTTCTCTTCCTTCTCCTTCTCTTCCTTCTTCTTTTCCTCATCCTTCCCCTTTTTTTCCTTCCCCTTTTCTTCCTTCTTCTCCTCCTCTTCCTTCTCTTCCTTTTCCTTTTCTTCTTCTCCTCATCCTCCTTCTCACCTCCCACTCTTCCTTTTCCTCCTCCTCTATTCCTTCTCCTCCTCCTTCTCCTCCATCCACTCTTCCTTTTCCTCCTCCTCCTTCTATTCCTTCTCCTCCTCTTTCTCCTCCTTCTCCCACTCCTCTTCCTTCTCCCACTCTTCCTTTTCCTCCTCATACTCCTTCTCATCCTCTTCTCTTTCTTCTCCTTCTCTCCTCCTTTTCTTCCTTATCCTTCTCTTCCTCCTCTTTTTCTTCCTTCTTCTCCTTCTCTTCTCTTCCTTCTACTTTTCTTCTCCTTCTCCCACTCTTCCTTTTCCTCATCCTCCTTTTCTTCCTCCTCCTCTTCCTTCTCCTTCTTCTCCTCCTTTCTTCCTTCTCTTCCTTTTCCTTCTCTCCTTCTCCTTCTCCCACTCTTCCTTTTCCTCATACTCCTTCTCCTCCTTCTCCTCTTCCTTCTCCTTTCCTCTTCCACCTGTTCCTCCTTCTTTTTCTCCTTTTCCTCCTCTTCCTTCTCCTTCTTCTCTTCCTTCTCCTTCTCCTCATCACTGTCATCATGTATATTATCATTATCATCATATATATATTATCATTATCATATATAGTATCAGCACTGTATTAACATGCTCACCATTACACTACACATCAGTCAACAACCTTCAGGTTTGCACACACAAACCTGACTGAATGCCAATCAATGAATGCAAACCACCATGCCCAGATAGTTATCACAATCAAGGTATAGTTTGTGAGCTTAAATCAAACAACCAAACTCAAAGCAATAATTTTTTAAGTGTCAAAGCAAATATTTATCAATTGCCTCAGAGAACGTAACTCATTAAACTTCTTCAAGCACAAAATGGACAAAAATCTTAATTGTTATTTTACTCTTTTTTGGATGAACTAATGTTTGTTTTAATTCTTCAACAAATGAGCTTTTTTCACCGTAACTGTGAATGGTGCATTGAAGCTGTTTGTATAACTTCCTAAAAGGTAGTGTGGAATGTGTTTTGAAAATCATTTGACGATCAGTCTTAAAAAGGCTGACCAAGTGATCGAGATGATCAATACTGTATGTGTTCGTGCAGAGGAGTAAAACATGCTTGCTGTCGTAAAAAACCTGCTCAACAAATATGTGAAGTAAAACTGACATCGCTTCTCACTGTCCTAGGAAATGCACTCACCTGCTCACTCACTCTCCGCTGACACACAGTGATATGACTGAAAAACTGTTCAAAGGGGCATTACACTCACTCACTCACTCACTCACTGTTTGCTCGCTCACTCACTCACTCATCCCTCAATCATTCACTCCCTCTTCCCACTCACCCCTCACTCACCCCTCACTCACTCATTCACTCACTCATTCACTCACTCACTCACTCACCCCCTCACTCACTCACTCACTCATTCACTCACTCACTCATCCCTCACTCACTCATTCACTCACTCACTCACCCCCTCACTCACTCACTCACCCCCTCACTCACTCACTCACCCCCTCACTCACTCACTCTCCCCCTCACTCACTCACCCCCTCACTCCCTTATTCACTCACTCATTCACTCACTCATGCATATACAAAACACCAAAACATTTCAACGTTTATCTTTAAGTTTTGACCCCTTCTTCAACCAGAAGTCAAATCAAAATAGACCATGCAGGAATCAAGATGTCCCCAAGAAATAGGAAGTAGTTTGGGGAAATTACTTTCTCCTGATCAAGGTGTTGATGTTTGTAAACCAAATTAGGTGGACCACTAAAAATATTGACGAGATGGCTCATGGGAAATTTGGATGATCAGCATTGGAAACAATTAACTTATTTCTTGCTATTTACATCCTAATGGTGGCACCCAAATTGATTCTTCATTATTGTCCTTTTTTAGAATAGAACTTAGAAACTGTGTCAAATCTATCTCAATTCCTTTGTGATTGTATAAAAATAAAATAGTGTGGTTCCCATTGAAGAAAACATAGTGTGGTTCCCTAGGTGAGTAAGATAGTCAATGAAATAAAGATTGACAAGCCATCGATTTCTTGGTTTTTTGTCTTGAAGTCGGTCACATTGATGGGAAACATATTTTGTCAAAAAAGTACCGGTACAAACAATATTTTTTCTCTTTAAAGGACACTTTGAGTATTATCCCAACATCTGGTAGTTATGATATAATAGTAGTGAGATTGTCTGGGATGTGTTTGGACAATAATCTGTGGAAATTGCAAATGATCAGTCAGAAGGATGCAGAGTGTGATGATTTTGCAGACTTCCAGTAAATCTATTACACCTCCCATATACAGATTCTGAACTAGTGAGTTGTGGTGTATGCCACTCTTAGTCATATTCGGGGCGGCCGGGTAGCCTAGTGGTTACTGCGTTCGCTCGTCATGCCGAAGACCCGGGTTCAATTCCCGACATGGGTACAGTGTGTGAAGCCCATTTTTTGTGTCCCCTGCCGTGATATTGCTTGAATATTGCTAAAAAAGGCATAAAAACCATACTCACTCACTCACTCTTAACCATATTCCACCAATATCATAGCGGGGGACCCAGAAATGGGCTTCAACATTGTATCCATGTCAGGAATTGAACCTGATCTTTTGGCGTGATAAACAAATGCTTTGACCACTAGGCTACCAAGCCACCCCTTATTCTTGAATATAAGATAGCTATGCTATAAATCGCAAAGAACAATGAAGAAGTGCAGTTTATTTCATGATAAAACATTGTTCTATTGTGACGTCATTTCTGGAGATTCAGACATGCGCTCACAACTTGATGACATCATATATTGGACGACATTCATTTTTGGAGGGAATTGTCTAGTGTGTTAATCCCAATAGATGTAGCTTGGCTACGCAGATAAACACAGTGGCCGTATGATCGAATTCAAAAGTGGGCGATATATGACAATTGGTATTGAGTAAAAAGTTTATTTGATGTGAAAATTGTGAGAATATGCGGGAAAGATCTAATTTCACCCCCTGTTCATAAAATGGACTTGTCCGCCATTGTTGAGGTCAGATTCTATTCAGGGAGTCATCATTGTTTAAATACAAGTAAATATTTTAAAATCTTATACATTTTAGTAACGTCCTTATAAAGGCTGTACATATTATTAATATCTCGTTAGATATATATGTTGTTTATTGTATGATAAACATCTCCCACACATTGTTTATTTTTTAAATAAAGTTGAAGCAGCTATATGACTTGTGTATTATGTGGCCCGCATTGGGATCTTACAATCATGTTTCTATAAGACCACAGGTTACTTTTGTTGAAGGTGTTTTCAATATTTTTTGTAATTATTTCTTCATCAAATGAGGTTGCATAGCACAGTCATGAAAATTCTGTTTCTGATAATTTTTATATGCTCATGTCTCATTTTCAGTGTTTATGAATTACTTTATAATTTCTTTATAATCTCTGATGGACTGGTCAATGTGAAATTAATTGTAAAAAATGTTACATTAAAGTTTGTCCTTGACCACAGGTGACAACCCTTTTGTTGAAAATGATGACTATTTACCATCAACACTTACAATTTACTTTTCAATATTTATGGTTATTATTTCATCATCAAATATGAAACTTTGTTTACACAGTGATGTTTGGTGCCCGTTTGGTTTGAGGTGGAGAGACCTCTGATCACACTGCTTGTCCATTTCTCCATCGCAATACTCTGATGGAGTGGTCAGTGTGAAATCAACGCTACTACAAATGTTGTCTTATCCAGTGCCTGTTACTAAACTCACAGACAGACCTAATTCCCTTGTTTGTCAAGCCCGGCTTGAATATGACATTTAAATATTTGTCAAATTAATGCCTTTCAGCATTTCTGACAGTCCCTAGCCAAGAGTTGAGATTTCTGTTGTGCTGGGACAAAACGGGCTCGTGTTTAAGATTATCAGCATGAATGTGGAACAGTGGATTAATCTTGGTCAGCTGGCCACGGACAGGGGTTGGTCGAGAGACAAAGGAATAAAACTTAATTTTGTTGTAGGACATGAGATTGCACTCTAGAGAATATGGGATTTGATTGTTGACCTCAATTCTTTATTGACCTCCTGTCTGCAGGGAAACGTGGCTTGCATTTGTATGTTGATCTGGAAACTCCACATGAATAGACAGTAGAGCTGCTTTGTCGTTAATTTTATTTTGTGTGAATTTTGTAATTTAGGATGTTTTTTATTATCATTTTTTTTATAATCAATTCCTCCTTTGTCACAAAAATAAGTATTTGCTTGAAAATGTAGGTATTGGATTGGTACAAAATTATCTACCTTGGCGCTGTCCAAAGGCGCTGTCCAAAGGCGCTGTCCAGGAGAGGTGCTTGGCTATAATAAACTCTGTAGTAAGGGTCTACCTATGGAGCTAAGAATGCATTTTGTTGGTACCTTCGGCTATTTTGGCAAGGGATGTGCACAGACTTCTACCTGAGTGATAGCCATAAGCTGCCATAGTTAATCTCCTTTCTGAAATAACAGTGGGGGGGGGCCTTGAAGGGTTGGTAATACATGCCATGTTTGTTAAAATGTGGTCCCAATTGAAATGATGTTGCTTTGCACAGTCTTGAAACTTCTATTTTTGAGTAATTTTACAGGTTGATGTCTCATTTTCAGTGATTATGAATTGCTTTGATTTTCAAATTTTAATTTTTCTGAATGAATAAGTGTTTCATTTAAAAAGGATTCTGGTAAACGACAGAATGTGTGTCCGGAGTGCGGAAGGTCGTTTGTTCAATTTCCGCCTGCGTCATATGAACAGACCTGATACTTATTACCTGCATCAGGCATTGGGGGCTAAAACAAGGACTGGTCAGCTTGGAGCTGGTACACTGTGTCGGAGTGGGGTATCCATGTTATACTGCGGCATGGTACCTCAGTGGGCAAAAAAGGGCATGTCTAGTCCTGACTAGTAAAAGCAGCCACACACACGTCGCTATACAAGTGCAGTAATCTTGACCTTCATGTTAAACCCAACTTCTTCTCACCTTGGGCATCTGGGTAGCCTAGTGCCTTCACATTTCTTAATGAAAACTGGTATTTACAGTATAACTGGCTAAAGATCCCAATATTCACCTAGACCCTCCAAACTTGCTTTCCTAACCAACCCATTTTCATCATACAACAATGAGACCGCCTCCGAAGTCTAATGGTAGAGCGTCCGCCCGGA